GTTCAGTTTGTCTTATTCCTGATGGCTTTTGGGACTTCTTCATGAGAAACATAACTGGAATATGATAATGTGGCCTTTTTTGGTGCAGTGGTGGTGGGTCTACTGTGGTTTCTGCTGTGCATGATGGTTTTGTTTTGCAAAAGGTACGTTATACTTTTCATATGTGACAGGCTGATAGCTCTCTGTAAGAGGAAAATGTATGATGCAATACTTTATGTGTCTAGTTATTACTTTTGCTTTTTGTTCAGTCATTAGAAAATGTGAACAACCAGTGCTTATCTAGTATTTAACAACGCTTCAATCTTATATTCTTATCTGATACATACACAAACATGATTTGTGATTGCAGTCTGTGGCGACTTCTCCAGTTGGCGGTGAATTTTTAACTGACTGTATGATGAAAAGCTTGGAGAGCAAGGGCGTCGTCGTAAGCTTCTCTCTTGCAATCTTGTTTGTCATTTAATACTAGTTTTTGCTGCCTGTTCACTCCTGTTTGTTCACTATCCAGATTAGGCCCAGATATTCATTTAAGAAGAAGGAAATCAGTCCCGGAGAATATAAGGTGCTATTTCTTTGTAAAACTATGTTTATATTTAAACTTTTTCTGTCTGCTTTCTTTCAAAACAAGGGAAAACTCACCACACCACTGAATCGTACCCATTTATTGATACATAATAATATTACTATGTCACATGTAAGCTGATCTGCCAACATGCTTGAAATACTTTAGCAAGACTTTAGGGGCTTGCACTTTGTGACTGTTACTTTATTTTTTCTGGTGTGTGTTATGGCCCTGCTGGGTTTGTATTGTATTTTGTTCTTAATATAATGACGGGCAGGTCTCCTGCTGGTTCGAGAAAAAAAAAGGAAGACTTTATGGGCTTGTTTTCATAGTTAGAGATACAACCAATACAAAAAATGAGATAACTGGAAACAAACACAGGCTTTTTATTTTTCTGACTTCATTAGCAGCTCAAATTAGGTGTTATTCCAACTATATGGTTCAGAAATAACAGCCTCGTATTCATTCAATTAGGAACTTGTTTCATACCTGGTAGCCAGTAACCACTATGTCAGCAAATCCAAGTAAAAGCGTTGGTTTGAAGTTCTGGGTACAGACCCTTTTTCTTCTCTCTGGTGTATCGCTCAAGTTGAGTTGGTTATTTTAGTTCTGTTTTAGTTTCCATTCTTTGCAATTGGGGGCATTTACAAATTCTGTGGTGATTTTCTTACTACTCGTTCTCGCATTCTAAGGGTCTTAATCTATTAATATGTTATTCGTGACTATGTTTAAGTATGATGTCTTGTTGATAAGATTGCTGTATTTGCTTATCTTTACACCTATACTACAAAAAAGTTTGCACTACACCTCTTTGCAATACCGAGCGCTGTCCTGTAATGCTCTTGAGAGTTGAGATTACAGCCAAACATGTACTTTTTATGTGACTTTATGTTTGTCCTTGTTTCAGATTGTAGATCTTGATCTTCCAAACACAACTGAGAGTTACAGGTTGTACTGCATGGTATGTTCGTTTACAAAGCTGTAATTTTTGCTGTACACTGTTGAAACTTTTTTTTTATGGTTTCAATGATGATCTGTTGTATTACAGAGAGCTATTGCTAGTGACATCAAGGAGTCTGTTTGCAGAGTTCCAGACACCGCATTTGATGGTAATACTATTGTTCTAACTGTAATATTTATGTAGCAGTTATCTTTGGTGGTGTTTCTATTGTAAATTCAATATTCCTTTGGCTTCTTTTATGTGTACCTTGAATGCAACATAAAGTATATTTTGTTTCATTGACTTGTGGTTTTAAACCTTTTTCTTTCTTTACATTTGCTGTTATGTTATAGCACTTAATTTCCCAGCTCTATTTTTCATGCAGAAGTGGCATATGCAAATGTTCCTACGACTTCATATGAGCTTCCTGATGGACAGTAAGTTGGACTTTAGCCATGAGTACCTATTTTCTTGTTATTTAATCCATCCCTGTCAAGAATATGTGTTACTTTACCTTGTGGGCTTATTCATCACACCTAAAGTATCGGTGCATCTGTGCACCCATCTCTTTCTGGCATAAAAATGGATCATGAGGAACTGACTGAATAATTTTGATAAAAACCTAGTCTACATGCTACAAAACAAATTTAACTCAACATCTGATGAATTGGGGTTCGAGACTGAGAATCAATAAGGACAAGTTACTGTTTACTGAATTTTATTATATGTATCTATCATAATACATGGAACATTTGCAAATTGGTGGATCATCTCATAACCTAGTATCCAAATTGGATTTTTTATGACAAATTACATGGTCTTTGAGGTGGGATTTGCAGATGCATTGAGAGGGTGGATGCAATGCATATCCCATCTTTTCCACTGCTCTTGTATTTAATCTTCTGTTTGTTTTCTTTGGCATGTTCTGTTTATGGGATTCTTGAGCAGAACTATTGAAGTCGGTGCTGATAGATTCAAGGTTCCTGATATTCTATTTAATCCATCTCTATCCCAGGTGAGTAGCGTGGAGAAAGGGGTCTGTAGTACTACTGGTTTGACTAATTTGTAGGTTGTAATCCCCGAACTTGTTCTGGTGCTGTTTTTTTGCTCCACTGGTTTTTGTAATGGACCATGTTATTGTGCGAAACCCCCTTAGTGCATTGCTTTCTTCTTTAGTGTATGGTAGCAGTGATTTAAAGAATTGTTTGAACTCAGCAGACTTGCTTTCTCTCACCTTATATCTCGGCCTTCATTCACACAATTTTTCTGACCAACAGACTATTCCTGGGATTGATGGATTTGCAGATTCAACATCAGTCCGTGGCATTCAACGAATGGTGAGTTTAATGAAGTCCATACTGTTCTGCATTGCAGGCAGCATGGCATTTCTACATATATAGCTAAAGTTGCTGATACTTTGTTTCTACCCAGGTCATTGATAGCATAAATAAGTGTGACGTTGACATACGAAAGGAGCTATTTAGCAATATCTTGGTAAAGACATGAATTCCAGAGCACTTTACTACTTTACATGTATCATACATGGCAGCATGTGCAAGTGATATTAGTTCCTTCAACAACATCCTTTTGCTATGCTATTCTAACATCTGCAAACTTTTATTCTGTATAGCTTTCTGGTGGCTCATCATCAATTCTGCAGTTAAAGGAGCGCCTAGAGAAAGAAGTATTAGAGGTACAAACATATAAGGTGCTTTAAAATTTTCATTTCAATATAATTTAATAATTCCCACTATGGAACTATTACAAACATAATGATTAATAGAGTATATTGGAGACTATCGGTGGCTCGGTGCCTACAATTGGATATGGTGGGAGTATTTCATATTAGTTCACATATTTTCCCTATTTTGTGATCTTAGTTGATAATTATGAAACAATTCTCTTTATTCATGTTGGTTAGAAATGGTGAACACACTCTTTACTCATTTTTAATGCTGCTTATTATTTCCACATTGAATTATTACAGGAGTCTCCTCAAGCTGCTCGTGTTAAGGTTATGGCAAGTGGAAACTCCGTAGAGAGACGATTCAGGTTAGACTACTATATTACTTGTTACTCCCTGCATTCCAAACTATAAGACGTTGTGGCTTTTGTAGATACATAGCTTTTGCCTTGTATTTAGATATATACTATGTCTAGATACATAGTAAAAGCAAATGTATCTAGAGAAAGCCAAAACATCTTATAATTTGAAATGGAGGGAGTAGGTTATTGGCAAATAACCTACTGCTACTTGCAAATGACATGGCTGATATGTTGGAATTCATATGCAGTGTTTGGATTGGAGGGAGCATTCTTGCATCCCTTGGGTCGTTCCAGCAAATGTGGTTCTCCAAAGCAGAGTAAGCTTGATATTTTATAGGCCCTCAGTTTTCTATACTTGCCCTGGACACCTGATAAGCCGTGCCATGTATCTCGTTCCAGGTATGAAGAGCATGGGGTTTCCTATATTCAAAGGAAGTGCCCTTGAAGCAGGGGAATATGTACAACCAATATTATTCTTTACGAGCCTTTGTTGCCAAAGGGTTCCTTGTATACAACAGTTTGATGCCTTGCCATGTTGGCCAATGAAGACTCAAGACTCTTTTCAAGTGGCATTTATTGTTGTCATGACTAGTTAGTTTTAGTTGATGTAAGGGTAACTTAAGAACTGAGTCAGCTAAAATATTTATCATTAATGGTAGATTCATATGCTGAATCTTTTTCTCCCTGCTGTAGAATGAGATGAGACCCTCTTGTTCTGTACCGGAGCTACCTCTTCCCTATTGCCAGCACTTAATAGCCAAGATGATTATATTGTTGTAACGCGGGTTCTTTAAATCCCAGCCGCAGTTCACTTTTCTGTGTTTCTGTTTCGAGATTTCAGCAGTACTCAACTAGCAGATCCACCATATCAAGCGGAGGGTGTTGAGTAATTCATACTGCAGTGTGACTGTATTCTCAAATAAAAATGCCCTGTGCACTATGATTCTTTCACATACATGTCAAATGTCATGGCTACCTAGCTATATATGACTATAAATTAAAAAAAAGGCTGAAGCCACAACAGCCAGTACGGAGGGATGAACAAGCCATTTTTATTAGCACATGGGAACAGCACACGTGCCTTGGCGTTTACCTTCATTCCTATGTGTACATACAAAAAAAGGAAAGGAAAAAAATACCCCACGAAGGCTGAAATAAGCCCCAGGCTCATGTCCCAGCTCCCAACCTGAAATCATCTGCTGCTGCTTTGGCACAGCAGATTCAGTACAGTATGTATGTGTAATAGTGTAAGTAATGTGTCACTGTATACATCATGCCATTTCAGCACTGTCTGTGTTTACGGTGTCCAACCGTTCGTGCCTTCCTTTTGGCTGGGGACTGGGGAGGTACAGTGCAAGCCAACTTCTCCAGGCCCTTCTTCCCGCAACTGCACTAAATTACCCAAGAACAAGCGATAAGTATAAGGCTGTAAAAACGAAGCTATGAACCTTGCTAATCTTTGGCCGCCTTGTTTCTCCAAGCAGCGATCGAGTTCGGAATGTTGTCGAGGAGAGGCTTCGGGATGCTGTCGAAGAAAGGCTTGGAGATGCCGTCGAACAGCGGGAGAGGAAGCGTGAGGGTGAAAGCATCCGGTTTCAAGTTCCACTTGCTCTTCAGCCATACAGAAGCAATGCTGATGCTGTCTGAATCCTGGAACTCTGGAGTGCTCGATGATTTCTTCACAGTGTGCAACCCATCCCCATACGAGGGCACCCACGTAGCCAAGAGATCTTGCTGGCTGCCGTTCATATCTGGTCGACTGCCAGATTTTGGCCTAAGGGCCAAGCCTTGCCCAGACCTCGCCAACATGCTACCGCCACTGTCCTCCCTAGCTGTCAACTCACCATCAGTTTTCTGGCGCCGCCTTATGGGCTTCTCAGCATCATCCATCTCCCTAGCGCCATCTCCATTTTCAAGAGAGAAGTTGCTTGATAAGCTTCTAGCTTTCCTATGATGACCTGGAGGTGGCCATCCAGGGTGCAAAGTTCAGAAATTCAGTGGACCAATAGGCAATAGAGCAGGAATCGTAACCCAAGCAAATGATATTAACAGGATTTACCTTTAGCGTACGTCGCCATTTCTGTGCCTTCATTGGTTAGGTTCCCCTTTGGAGTTGGTGTAAGGCCATAGTATCCCTGCAGAAGGCTCATTGATGGCGAAACTGTGCTCCGTGGTGGTTTAAGAAATGGGTCCAAGGAAGCAGCAATTTTGGGAGGGCGGCGTGTAGTCCATTCTCTGAAAGAAACCAATATTGTCACTGTGGATAATAAAGCATGAAGCGTACCTAGCCAAGAGGAGCACCGACATTGAAGACTATTTAGTCAGCATTGTGAAAAGGCGTCACATGGTAGCGCCATTAAACTATTAAAGGCAGCAGCATATGCAGTGACATCTAGAGGTGGAGGTACTAAGAATCTAAATAGTGGAGCATCCATTAAATAATAAGTATGCTGTCCTTCTACATCAAAATCCCTCCAGAATAAAAACAAAAGAAAAAACACTTGTGTATTTTGTGTATGGACTGTTCTATAATGTTTCTGTAACAGTTCAAGGTTCTAGAGGTGCATCTGTCGACGCCCTGTTCGCTGGGCTGATAAGTGTGTGGAAATGTAAAGAATAAAGTGTGTGGAAATGTAGAGACTAGAGAGTGCAAAGCATGTGGAGGCCGCTGCACATCTGTTGCCAGGCAGGAGTGTATCATGCTTCCTCCTCATGGTTTCTCTTTGGATGTTGTGTATATCATTTGAACACAGGTGGCAGAGACCCCTTTGGAAGTGTACGAGGAAAAACCACAGCCTAGCTGCCACTAGGCGTCAGGTCAGTGCTCAACCCACTCAAGGGCAAGTGCGTCTGTGAGTGTGAACCGTGGAGGGGGGCAGTCGGTTTCACACCGGTGGAACACTGCCTACCTCACCGGTTCTCAACGGTGTGTGGCCAAACCTGCCAACCTCGAGGCTAGTGATTTGACTTGTAGACATTGTGGAAATCATGTACTCTACTTGTATACGCATCCAGGAAGCAGGAATGGCGAGCGAACACAAAGTCAAAATTCAGCCAGAATTGGCCCGAATTGTTGACAAAGTCGACTGGATAGAACGCATGTAACTATGCAAGGGGCAAGAGATGCCCTGGCAATGCAATGCAATGCGGTGCTTAACTGCTTATCAATTACTGCTGTTGTGTTTCGATGCGACCACTTTATCAGAGAAGAGAAGAAATAAACGATTTTTAACGAATCAGGCAAAATGGTATTTTGTATTGCATAGTCACACAGGTGATGAAAGGTGTGAATGGTTGGCATGTAAATGCAATCCGGTAAATAGATGGAAGAGGAAATTAAGCACGCGGTGTTCTGTTATGATGGCTGTGCGTGGAGAGAGAGAGAGAGAGAGAGAGAGAGAGGATGAAATGAACCTGGCGGCGCGATCGGCGTGGCTCGGGGAAGAGGAGGGAGGAGACGGCGCGGTGGCGGGCGCGTGCCTCCCGTGGAGCGGGACCCGCAGCGTCTTGTGCGCGAACATCTGCAGGTCGGTGGTGAGGCCGTTGGCGCGCTTCACGTCCGCCACCTGGAGGAGTAGCAGGAACAGGCAGGCCACCAACACGGCGGGCGGTCGGCGGTGGAGGAGACGAGTCAGATGGCGCCATGGCGGCCTCGTGGCTACCCAGAAATTAGGAGTCTAGGACCGAGTGACAGATCGATGGACGAGAGAGGAAGAGAGCGAGAGAATGGAATGGCGTTCGTTACCGACCTCGACGCCGTACTTGATGGCGACGCCGGCGAGTGTGTCGAACCTGCAGACGCGGTGGAGGAGGTAGCGTCCGCAGGATGACATGGGCGGCGGCGACGGCGACTGGTCCACCGCCTCGTCATCGCAGCGGCCGGCGCTGCTGCTGCCGGTGCTGCAGCTGCCGTCGTCGTCATCGTCGCCGACGCCGACGCCGTAGCGGGGGCGGACGAGGACCTGCTTGACGCCCATCGGTCGCGGCGCCTGCGGCCCTGCCCCTGCTATATTTGGCGGGCCGGGCTCCCTCCCCTCCTCTCCTGTGTGGTCTGGTCCCGGCGTGCGGGCGGGCGGGCGTCGGTGCCCGGCCAAAAAAGAGGACGCGGACGCGGGGGAGGAGGAGGTGGGCGGTGCCGAGTGGGTGGCGACCGAGCCACGCGATTGCGCCTGCGCGAGTGAGTAGTGATCAATCACGCACGGGACTACGGGAGGCGGGACCCGGGGCAAGTGCGCGTTTTCTGCCGGTGCACGGCGCGGGTGGCTGAGACTGACTGACTGGGTCAGTCAAGGTTGCATGCGCCGGGTGGGGTCGGTGACGCCGTCGCCGTGGCAAGTGCAAGCCAAGTCCCTTTTGTTTTTGCTGCCTGCGCACTAGCTCTGGGTATTTGGTTAACCGAAACCGATCGATTCGGTTCATCGGTTTTTAGCAATTTTGGTTTCTACACGATCAGGGACTGATCGGTTCTTTTAAAAAAATAGGAACAGATGAAATTTGGTTTCGATTATTTCGGTTCGGTTTCGGTTATAACCGAACTAACCGAGCCCTACTAGCATAGACACAGATTCATCTCAGCACGGACACATATTTGCTAATCTAGAGAAAAAGGTAGTTCTAGGCTTTTGGCGCTCGCCACCGAGCACCAGTTCTCCGCACGATGGGTCACCGTCGAGCCCCTTTCCTTGTTGTGATGCGCCGCCACTGAGCCCCTCGCTTCCTCGTGGCGCGCCATGGCCAAGCCGCCTGAAGGCGGCGCCTTCGCGTCGCGTGACCGCGTGACACGCAGGAGCACAGCGTAAGGATGCACTGCACGCTGTGGCTAGCCTTTCAAGGCGGGGAGGGAGTGGGAGGCTGGATGGATTGGGGGGGCGAGGAGGGAGGGGGAGCAGCGTGTTTGGGAATGGGGAGGGATTAAGGGCGTGGGGCAGGCGGGGTGGGATGTGAGGGGTGGCGGGTGAGGGGAGTAGAAATTTATACCTAGGGTTGTACCTCTGTATTGGGCTGGACCGTATTCTTTTGGGCCTTTAGACTGTAGTTCGGTTATTTCGGTTAACCGAGCACTGGAACCGAAATAACCGTAGTAATTTTGGTTCTTGAGAACCTGTAACCGAACTTGGGACCGAATATTTTGGTTTCGGTTACTACGGTTTCGGTGTCGGTTCTGGTTATTTCGGTTCAGTTCTCAGTTATTTTTACCCATGGTTACTGCACACCCGACCCAAAAGCCACTTGCAACGCAGTTTGGTCATCGGGATGCCCGATGCGATTTCTTGTGTTTCGTCAAACAAAAGTGTCGTGCTCATGGGCATACTCTTTAAAGTGGATCTAGGAGAGGGACTAGATCACCTACATTTGGGGTGCATTTGGTTTGAGGATGAAGTTGGATGGGATATGTCGATCCATGGATATTGGAATAAGGATATCCATGATGCATGTTTGGTTGGACGGATAGGATGATTCATTTTTCTGTTTGGTTGAATGGATGAAAGTGGATGGGACGAGAATAGTTGACTAATTATATATATTATTTAAAATAATAACAACTAATTAGACACTAACAAATATGCATCAACACTAATTTTGTCATGATAATCACTAATTTAAAATAAATATGTTAATTAGCACCACTAATAACCTAATTAGCACATGAAACATGCACTAATCAACGTATTAGCACTTATCAAAACTAATTCTATCATCATAATTACTAAGTAATAATATAATATACTAATAATCCTTAATTTATTTACTAATGACAAAGATTAGAAGACATGGACAAAAGCTGGTTCGCGAGATTTTTACGAACCAGGAAATCCAACATCTTGTGTCCAAGTGATTCACTCAACCAAACACTACACATCCGTGAGACGGTCCCATCCCATCCATGGATATCCCACCAACCAAACACATCCTTGAAGGAGAGAGGTGTATTTAAAGTAGTTACTTAGTATTAGAGATAAGATAAGTAATTTGTTGGAGATACCCTAAAGATGATTTGTTGCTAAAAGCAGAGAATAGCCAGCCATGGATCTCAACTCCAAATTGATGAGATCGAACGTCGGAGAGTGGTTGTTTGGCTCAAGCAACTTCTCAATGTACCAACCAAATATCTACAACCCCTAGCTAGTGTCTACTCCATCCGTCTCCAAAAATAAATGACGTTTTTACTTTTAGAGATCTTATTTGACCGTTCTTCTTCTTTAAATTTTTTATGTAAATTATAAAATAAATAAATTATTATTAAACTATCTCAAATGATATAATAAGTCATAACAAAATAGATAATATCTATATAAATTTTTTGAATAAGACGAACGGTCCAATAAAATGTACGAGAGTAAAAAACGTCACTTATTTTAGACGGGGGAGGCAGATATTGCCTCACTATCATCGTGGCATGGGTTTTGAGGCCTCGAGGGCCAACACCATCTGTTATCCTTCATGGTCTCTTTGCTTAGTGGTGTTGCCCCTATACTATAATTGGCTGCCTAGATGACTAGGTCTCGATGCACGTAATTAGCCTGTTCGTTGGTTGGTTTCAGCCAAGGTTTATCAGCCATGGTACAATATTTTTCTCTCACAATAAATCAGCACCAGCCGGACTTATCAGTCCAGAAACCAACCAACGAACAGACTGAATATTTATGCACCAATGTGGACTATGCGAGTGGCAGCATAGACCTGTCATACTCATAGTAGTGCAACTACTTGCACACTCCCTATGTATTATAGACATAAGATTTGTTTGGATGAGTTAAAACTGATTTACGGAGTATTAGTTGTCTAATAGGTACAACTGATTGTTTGCTGGCTAAATTTTTCTAGCCCCTTTTTGAATACATGGATGAGCTAGTAGCTATAATATGGCATAATTCCTGCTAAAACTACGTTTTGCCCTTGGCCAATAGATGGTAGGATTTTGTGGGAGGGGGGAAACTATTATTTTACCATCCGCTAGTGCTTTCTGTTTGTGAACTTTGTAGCCATGCGAATTTGGAAGGTGGAAGGTTACAGAAATGAGGCATTTGATTTTTTTTCCTAGACTGCCCTTGTGAGCAAGCATTAGCCTTTTATTTGCCAAAATATCAGTAAATAATACTCTCTCCATCTTAGCTTATCAGCCATGGTACAACCATTACTATAATATATTATAGTACATTCAAGCATTAAAAAATAATATCAACACATAAGAGATTTTAGAGGATGAGAGATAGTTTTGTATTAAATAGTATCACAAATTTGGTAGTTATTATATCGTTAATTGTCATTTATTAACCAATCTCTATTAGTCACGTTGGTGATAGTGTTTGATTAAGGAAATATGTAAGGGTATGTGTATCTTTTGTATTCTCTTTTTAATTTATTCTAAAATATCTAGAATACACTATATTATAGGACGTGAGAGTACGTACAGCCATACTAAGACAATTACATCTTTAACTTCGTTTTATGTTAAACTATTTTGATTTTGACCAAATTTATAGACACGAGTATCAACAATTATTGCATCATACATAGTCTGACAGCTCAAAGTACTAATCTAGTATCATAAATATCAATATTTTTTTTTGACAATACTTTTTTAACAAACTTAGCTAAAGTAAAATTGTTTGACTTAGAACAAAATTAGAAATGCATTTATTTTAAAATGTAAGGGCCGTTTTGCTTGTGCTAGCCAAATGTTAAAGTACATATTTAAATACTTTCTTACAATATCCTGGCTGGGTTTACTGTCAGATTCTTTATCATTTTTCACACAACGTCAAACACAAAGCAATCAACTTGTAAGTAGTAAGCCCTGATAGTATTTGGGTATAGCCGCTGCTGCCTGCCTAGGGTAGAGCCGCCACCTCCTAGAAACGACTGTTCCTCGTTTCTGTTGCTGCTGCTGTTGCACCTAGTAGGGGCCCCTCTCCTTCTTCCTCTCCGGTGCATTTGCAGGAGATAAGAAGGAGAGGAAACTCATTCATTTTTCTCGCAGTTTTTTCTAGTGTTTTAGGGTTGAGTTCAATTTTTTTTTGACGGAATCAAATAATTTTTGGTCGGGATCGTGTGTCTGCGATGACTTCGGTGATTGTCACGGCGAGATCGTCATTGCGGCGTCGATTTCATCGGCAAGTGGCCAATTTGTGACCTTTATCTACAAGGGGAGGGGTGCTTCTGGGCGCCACCTATGAGGACAGCGATTCTAGGTCATCGATCTCATCGTCGATGGTCACGGAGAGGAAATCAAGGTCTCAAGGTGATGAATCTGCATCCTATGTTGTACCCGACGATGCAACTATCGATATTCTTTCATCGATTTAGATGTGTTTTGCATTGGTTCCGCTGGTTCCGGTGAACATCACACACCGATGGGCCTCCATTCTGCTGAGCAACAAGGAGATGTTGCGTTGAAAGTGAATGTTGGAAGAGTATGTTTCAATTATTTCAGATGTTTTAGAGGTATGTTACAAATGTTTTATATGGATGTTGCAAAAATAGATCGTGATATTGCAAATGTTGCAATAGTTGTACACGATTGTTGCAAGTGTCCGTTCAAATACTTCATCTGCTTTTTCAGACGTATGTTGCAAGTGTGCTTATTTGAATGTTGGATATGTTTCACACATATGTTGCAACAGTATGTTCGAAATGTTTAGTTGTTTCAGTCTTATGTTGCAATAAGTGTTTTCATGTTGCAAGTTGCAAATGTTTTATCTAGATGTTGCATATGTTTCACACACATGTTGCAAGTGTATGGTCCAAATGTTTCATCTGCTTCAGACGTATGTTACATTCAAGTGTTTCATGTTGCAAGTGTTTCGTGTTTGAGAGGTATGTTCAGAAATAATGGGGGCACAGCCCGGGCGCTGCGGGAAGGGGCGGGGTGAGCCGAGGGCGGGGGCGCCTGGGGTCCTGCAGTGGGGCGTGCTCGTCCTCATCCCGCTCCTCGGTCCCGTCCGCGCAGAGAGAGAGAGGAGGGGGTTAGGGGGAA